TTTACTGTAGTTTTGTGTGCTTTATTTTGCAGTCATACTGTCTCCTTACTGGCCTCATTACTGTCTTCTCAACAATGCAAGAAGGTATGACTTTTGAAGAGACCATTCAAAATTCACTTTGTATCCAGGAACATTTTGCAACGTTGTCAAATGTCTTTGCCCCAGTTTGCGAGGGATTTCACAGACATGTTTGAGAGAGTTGTGAGTCTGTCAACTTCTGAACACCCACCATTTCACTATCCTCTCGGCCCACTGGAGGTACTGCGGATGAGGATTGCTCAGTTTCAGCAGTTTTATCAGACATGCAGGCCCCTCATTGTTGTCCAGAGATTACAGCTGTGGAGGAGGTTTGACTGACAGGGTCTGGCCTAAGGTGCACCCAGGAGAATCAAGAGGAGGATTTACAGTGACCGCTCCAGCTTGTATTTTCCTCTCCATTCTCTCTTGTCAGGATACAGTCAAGAATTAGTCTGCATAATTTAATGGAGTCTCCCATTTTCTCTCACTATTTTTGCTCTTGGAGTGGTGGAGCCACTGTTATTTCTATTTTAAAGGTTAACAAGAGGATTTGAGAGTCTATCACATTGTTTATGTGGCATTTCAAGCGCAACACGTATTCATGTTTTTTTTTTTATCTTAACGTAAATTGGGTTTTGGAGAGGGCTTTGGAAAAAATGAATGAAAACGAAGTGGTCCTTGGTTCAAAATCGTTTGTGAGAGCCTAATCTAGACTATCTGAGAACCAGAAGACAGTGATTGAGTATTAAGGTCACCTGCTTGTCCACTACGAGACAAGGATGTAAAATGAACAACTGTGGTCACAGACACATTTTTCAAGAGTTAGGACACAATTAGTTCAGAGCTGAAGGGAAGGGACAACCGAAATTTAGCTGTGGAATGAAACATATACTTGGACCCTGCCATTTTGGCCCCAAAGCATTTTGAATACGTTGAGACAAGAAATAATAGACCATCCCATTCCGTCTTTAGTTTCAGTGAGTACAATGTAAGCCACCAGTTTCTAGCATTTTTCTCTAAAAGTTTTGCTCTTTGTGAATGAAAGTGTTATTTTATATTTTGATATTAAAAATTATGTTTCATCTGCTGTGTGTGGTTGTGTAAAATATAGTATCTTATTTCTGCCACATATGAAAAAAAAGTCATTTTTGGTAAATCATTTGGTAAATCATGGTTATGACATTATTCAAAATTAAGATACACTAAGTCATAATTATGACAAACAGTAGAAATTATGACAAAAAGTCAAAATTATGACAAACTATAAGATATGTCACAATTATAAAAAATTTCAACAGTTTCATAATCTTGACTTTTTTATTTTAGAATTATGATTAGTATCATCATTTTGACTGTCAAAATTAGTCAAAATATATTTTCTTAAAAAAAAAATCACAATTATGACACTTCAACACTTGTTTAATTGTCATAATTTCAACATATCTCATAATGCATTGTCATAATGACTTTTTATCTGTCTACTTTCTGTCATCATTTAATATTTTTCTCATAATTATGTCTATCTTTTGTGACTGTTTATCTCAGAATTATGACTTACTGTATCTCAATTTTGCCTATGTCATAATTACTACTTTTTATGATTAGAATTGATCAAAGTATGATTGTTTTTTCTCATGTGGCAGAAACGGGATTACATACTAAGTAAAATTAATTAAATTTATTAATTCAAAAGATTAGTACCTGAAATACAAATTAAAATTAAATCTGCCTAGAAGGATTAAAAATCCCTCTACACAGCAAAATTAAACCATGCATGTATATTTTTGTATTCCTTGTAAAATTGTATTCAAGACAACAGAGAGGACACCCGAGCACCGCACTCACATGTAAAAACTACATTATTAATGGCAAATGGCTTATCCTATGAAACATGTCCTTTTCTCCTGCTTCTAAACTAATATGGAACAACCTATTCATCTTGGCACCAGAGACAAAGGTAGGTTTCAAATCCACAGCAAGCGCGATATTTAATTTCACGTGGTGAATGTAATTACGCAAAGAAATGATACCGTGCCCCGGATTAAATCAGGGAGTTATTAAGAGTGCCTGTAATTTTAATTCTGTTAGGATGACATTACAGAAGACCATCTGAGAAACTATTATATCATGACATGAGAGAATACTGCCACTTTGTGGTACATAAGAGACATGCATGTCGCCTATGGCTTGCTTAGTTGGGGACACTTCATTTCCAGCGTTATCGTTGACATGATTGCAAAGATATTATTTAAAACTGAACTGAGCTGGATGTTGACATCACTGAATTCAATGATGAACTGTCTTTAACTGAAAAATGAGTGTTTACTATTGTCACTTTGCATTATTGACACTATTTTCCTAATTAATGCTGTTCAGTTGCTTTGTCACAATCTGTATAGTTAAAAGCGCTATATAAATAAAGGTGACTTGACTTGACATGCATGCAGAGGTATAACGGTGAATCTCATGAAAATTACGGTTTAAATTCAATATATATACCATTCAAAAGTTAAATTAAATTGATTAAAAGTGACAGCAAATACTTTTATAATGCTACAAAAGATTTCTATTACAAATAATCTGTCTATTCATTTCTTAACTTTGGATTAAAGGCACAATATGTATTTTTTTATTAAAATATCCAAAAAACACTAGAACAGTGTTATATATTTTGCTGACTTGTGTACTTACATTATCCCTAATGTTTCGAAGAATGTTTGAATCCAGAGAAATAAGCTATTTTAACTAGTGATGCGGAGCGTGTCTATAGTGTCATTGTGTCACCTGCCAATGACATCATAACCCCTCGATTTCTGGTTTTGTTTCGTAGAAAACATGGAAACACCAAAGACGCTTTAATATGTTGTGTGTTTTAATAGACTGGTGTCGACCGCACAGAGTAGCATTATAACAGAACTGCTGCTTTACCCCACATATGCACAACCGGAAGGAGCGGAAGCGGTCGACTGCGGCGTAATAAAAGCTCCGCTGCTTTACCCCACATACGCACGACCGGAAGGAGCGGAAGCGGTCGACTGCGGCGTAATAAAAGCTCCGCTGCTTTACCCCACATACGCACGACCGGAAGGAGCGGAAGCGGTCGACTGCGGCGTAATAAAAGCTCCGCTGCTTTACCCCACATACGCACGACCGGAAGGAGCGGAAGCGGTCGACTGTGGCGTAATAAAAGCTCCACTGCGGCATAATAAAAGCTCCACTGCTTTACCCCACATACGCACGACCGGAAGGACCGGAAATGGTCGACTGTGGCATAATAAAAGCTCCGCTGCTTTCGAACCGTGTGTCACGCTCATTCAGCGGCCTCGTTTCGCTTCGACGGCTTTCAGCCTCACTCTGCTTCATTCTACTACGTTAATAAATCACTAGCTCATCCACGAACATGATTTCTGCCCGAGCCCCGTCGGATTGCAGCGGCTGTGGGGATGAAGACGACAACTCCCATGACTCCACACTCAGTCACGGCATCAACAAACTACGCCTTTATCTGTTTGTTTATTTTGAATATGCGCCCTCTAGCAGTGAAAATTAGATATTGTGCCTTTAAAGAGTCCTGAAAAACAAAAGTATCGCAGTTTCCACAAAAAAATTTTAATAAAAGAAAAATCAGCACAACTGTTTTCAACACGGATAATAATGAGAAAGCAAAGCAGCAAATCAGAATGATTTCTGAAGGATCATGTGACACTGAAGACTGGAGTGATGCTGAAAACTCAGCTTTGCATCGGAGGAAATAAATTACATTTTAAAATATATTCCAGTAGAAAACACTTATTTTATAGTGTAATGATATTTCACATTTTTATTGTATTTTGATCAAATAAAATTAGCTTTGGTAAACACGGAAGCTTTGAAAAACATGGATGTAAAATACTTAACCGTTTAAAATTGCTAGTCATACAAAATTGGGTTTTTAGAATAAATGTACTTCGGAGGTTTCATGAAATTCACTTCTGAAAAGAACCAAGTTTAGCAATTAAAGTCAAATTAATTTCACACTATACCAATTTCTGGTATAATTTTACAAAGCATTCAATCTTAACCAACAAACAGACACAGAGTCTCTCCTGTGGGTTTTATGCATTTCTTTTAATTACACATTAAATAAGACTGATGAGATTAATGCATTTATAAAAACATGCAGATCTGAGAACAGCTTTCCTCATCTTAATAATCACATTCACCAAAACATGACCGATGCGAAAGACCACCTCAGATCCGCACTTTCTCATAGCCGTTAACACATGACCCTTAATTACAATTAAGTGTCATTCAATTCATTAAACCAAAAAAAGCACAATTTACAAAACAAGTCATCTTTCTTATCACAACCGTACAAAGGCTGTTAAAACAAGATCCATTTATACGTGCACCATTTTATCAACATTTGAAATTGGCACACAGACAGAGAACATTTCAGAAACGATTCAAAAAATATCTAATGACTTTGCTACTCGCATTACAGACGGCTAGTAAAGGATTTTAAAGGGAACAGAAATCACCCAAAACACTTTAACTTTGCATAAGAGCGGACATCCTGATTTATTTCCGGTTTAGATTTCTCTGTATTAGTGAAACTGTGATATAGAAACAATTATTAGAAAAACAAACTAGTAATGGTTAAGGACGCATGGCAAAACGGCTCACCGAAGGTTTTAAAGCAACATTCTGCTCGTATATTGTAAATCTCCTATAAATGACAGAATCTCATGACATCCACAAGTATTGTCACAAAATAAATCGTTATATCACTCTCTTTGGTTTGAGTGATGGCTGAAAATGTGCCCTCCAGAGCTAAGCTAGCCACGTTTTACCATAGTATACTCGATCGCGACTGACTCTTGGGAATTTATGCGTTCAGCTTCGATTCGACTAGAATTGGGCTTCTAGAACTACAATGTCTCGATAGTTGATGGCAGCATAAACAAACAAGGCATTTGTTTTCTTCCGTTTTTTTTTTTTAAACGTATATTTGCATCACAACAACTAGTGGTACAGTAGGTTATATTCACTAATCAAAATTTAGCAAAAAACAATTCAATGTAATTACTCAAGACTTCTAAGGCGCTGTTTGGCTGGGCACAAGAGGGTAAATATTCATACGTCATAAAAATCCTCCTCTGAGTGCAGAAGTGAGGTGTTCGCTAGTGTAGATCCTTACAGAAAAGAGTTTCAAATTATTACACACTCCCTGGAATACTTGATTCTGATCAAGTGCAGCTTTATATTGTTTAGTCAGAATCTGCTAAGGGGTAGTAATGAAACAAGTGCTTTTTCACTATTACTTACAACAGGATCTGCATTTTCATGGGTTTAAATAAAAGACTTGTGTTATACGAGACAACTTTGTGCATCAAAACCACTCCTTTCCTGGAAAATAAAAGAACGTGTTTTTAAAAGTCGATTCATTTGCGACAGCTGAATTTAACGGTTTGTCCGTCAAAAAATAACGTGCACAATATTCGGTAGCATTTACGAGAAGCCAGCAGAGGTTCAGGGAGTGCACACATTTCCAAAAAAAACATACACAAACGTTTTGACTGTTATCGCTTTCCGAAAAGAAAATGCGGCTTCAACACGCTGTCTGTCAGAAACGTAACATACCTAATACATAACGCATGCGAGTATAAATTTGTTCTTCAATCCCTGAAACTGACAGGTGACTTTTATAAAATGCAGATCACCATCTTCTCAGTTGTTTAAAAACTTAAGTTAATAAAATGTTTAATTGTGTTGCTTAAGACGATAATTCTTACCAGATTTTGACTTGCATATAAACCTTCATGAATTTAACTGAAAATATCACAATGGCCTTGTTGAAACAATAGCGCCTGTTTGGACCAACTGAGAAAATCCTTTCTACACAGCAGTGGCTATTATACAGTATTCAACGCATTACCGTTCCCTGGAAGTTTAAAGAACAGAACACAACATGCAAACAGGGAAATAAGGTTAACGTGGTTAAGATTTCACCGTATATACACATTACCATGGCTTTTGAGAGAGGGCGCGTTAATCCGACTACAATGGAAGTTCACATGCAGGTTGTTTTTGGAAGTCTGGGACATCCAAAGGCAGGGTCATACACAGTGATAATGTATCAAAACACCCCCTGAAAGTGTTGGTCCTAAAAAAGTAATTCCTCAATGTTCCAGTTCCTGTAAAATCAAGTGACTCACATGCAAATTTCACGGCTAGTTCTCTCTCATACAGCACACCAAAAGCCTAATCTTCAATTCCACACCTTTCTTTATAAATCTGCTAAACTACTCTAAACCAACTGCAAAATAACACCAGCTCTGACAGCCCACCCGATAAAATAAGCCATAAAGGTGACCAACACTTTGGGGCAACTGGCACCGAACGAGAAGTAAAGCTTATTTCTCTTAAGAAAGCAAGTAGAATAAGAATCCATTCTGTATTTTGAGGAGGCCAATAATTTAGTGTAATATACAAAATGCAGTTGTGAAACTTTTTTTTTTTTTTTTTGAGTCTATTATGACCGGAAAGGCTTGTTCACATTAATATACATTTTGTTTTGGATTTCTTCTTTTTCTTCTTGCCCTCCTTGCTCATCTTCTCCTTGTGTTTCCGGATTTCTCGGACTAGTGTATAAAACGCGTCATCCACACCCTTCAAAATAAAGGGAAAACAAGAACTGTAGGTGATTATCTAAAGCATCAAACACCATAACCAAAAATAAGAATGACTTTTGCTGCCACATTCCAAACATTAGCCACTTAACATTAAAACTGGCCTCAGATAAGTGTTAAAAAGGCCATCTTCACCAAACCTGAAGTGACTTTTTTTTTTTTTAAAACAGTAAAAGAAATTAACAAGAAATGTTTAGATAAGAGTGTGAATCTCACAAATAAATGGTCATATTCTGTCCCAAAAGCAAACTGAATAGCAATTAAAAATATATATATATATTATATATATAGTATATTTATGTGTGTGTGTGACCCTGGACCACAAAACCAGTCATAAGGGTAAATTTTTCAAAATTGAGATTTATACATCATCTGAAAGCTGAATAAATAAGCTTTCCATTAAAGTAGGGTTTGTTAGGATAGGACAATATTTGGCCGAGATACAACTCGTATACAACAATGATACAACCTATAGATTGAAAATCTGGAAGCTGAGGGTGCAAAAAAATTAAAATACTGAGAAAATCGCATTTAAAGTTGTCCAAATAAAGTTCTTGGCAATTCATATTACTAATCAAAAATAACGTTTTGATATATTTACGATAGGGAATTTACAAAATATCTTCATGGAACATGATCTTTACTTCATATCCTAATGATTTTTGGAAAAAAAAATCTATAATTTTGACCCATACAATGTTTTATTCATACAATGGCTATTGCTAAAAATATACTCAAGCGACTTAAGACTGGTTTTGTGCTCCAGGGTCACACACACGTGTGTCTATGTATACATGTATTTATTTATTTTTTGTAGGAACTTTTTGTTTTGCAATTCATTTTCATGGCATTCAAGCACACTTCCCCTTTAAAATGCTTAAAAAAAAAAAGTCCTGTATGAAAAATTATTTTTAAATTACAATTAGCATAAGTTAAATAAATCTTGTCTGGAAAATTACATTTTTAAATCAAATTAATATTTAAGAGTAAATTTAGCAAACAAACTTTGCCTTTTTAAAAAATAAAACTAGCATTATTTAAATCCAGTACAACTAATAACAATTATATTAAATATTTTATTACAGTTAGCATTAATTCCTTTAAGTACAACACATACCACATACACTGTGGCAGGTGTGATTATATGTCACAATGCTAAATCTTTAAATCTCTTTTCTGTCCTAAAAATGGGCTTCTTTATGAAATGTAGGCAAATTTTGGGCTGAAATATGACCTGGATATTTCATTGAGATCCACCCATGAACAGGCGTAAAGTGCTGTACAGATGTCGTACCCCACAGCTGGGCTGCAAAACTTACCCCTCTCACATCAAAACACATTTTTTAAGCTTGATGCATTGTGTCGTCTTTTCTTCTTTACTGAGTTTTCTCAGCCGGTATTGCCTGATCTCCCGTACCAGAGTATAAAAGGCATCTTCCACTCTCTGCAGTGCAAAACACAACTCCCTTCAGTGTTAAAGAACGCACAGCGATCATCACGGAGAAGGGGAAACAGTCCGAATTGGACTTTGGGAAACAAGCGGCAAGTTTTCCCCACATAGAGTTGGCACAATTAATATTAGCGTTTTCTTTTGATTATTCCTGGGAATTTAGAAGGAATTTGGCGAAATCAAGTTTTTACATCAACTTTCCACAAAAAAAAATAAAAAAGCCGGGTTATTTCATGGCATGTCATTTTTTTGCAGCATCTTCACACTTGGAAAACATTTGAAGAGCTTCTCAATTAGCAATGTCCCTGAACATACATATACATATAAATACATATATAATAAACAAAGATAAGAGAATCTGCTATTAGAGGAATACACACAAAACCATTTCAGCCTGCAGCCAGAGAGGGAATTGTGGGTATTGAAGACTGTGGTGTCGGTGGGTAGGTAGCATGTGAGGCTCGAAACAGAGAGAAAAGAAATTAATTCAGGAGCTTATTACACCCCAGCACCACAAGGAGTTGTGATTTGAGCACTGCAGAGGGAGTTAGAGCGTTTGCCCTGATATTTAACATGACGGATAGAGCAGTTCAATATCCCCAACTGATTTATAGTGATTAAACCCCTGAACAATCAATCCAAATAGCATTCTTTGCCATTAAGAGATTAATTAAATGAAATCAAACAGACAAATTATAATGAACGCACAAGAGAGACCAGGCACAAACCCAGAGGCAGATCAGTTGTGTTGTGTGATATGACCTGATTGATTATTCATAAAGCCCGTCAGAATTAACTCATGCATAAACCCAGTGTAAAGCAAAAGGACGCAATGATCAGCTTTCCTACAATTCTACACATTTCAACTGCCTTCAGCTGGTGTGTGAATGTCACAAAAACTATGTCTAAGTCACAATTACCCCCTAGAAAAATAATCAAATAAAATACATATTTATGCAATGAGACTTTTTTTTAATGTAATAAAAATAGCAATAAGGGAGTGTAACAATACACTGTTCAATAGACGATATTGATCTCATGATACAATACTTTCACAATACTTTAAATAAAGCCTAACTAGAGCAGTTAAAACATTTACCTTGTTGTTATTACTTCTAAAGACATATTATAAACAGTTCACAAAAATTACTGTTTATTAAAATGCTACATGTTGGCTTTACATCAGGGGTGGACTTGAATAGATTAAACTTGGTTCTGGTCCCCAGTGCGATAGTGACACCAGAATAGAAATGTATAATTCTGCTTAACTGAAAACACAGAATTATGTAAGACACATATTTGTGGGCTCTGTCCCCTATTACATACATTTAAATAGTTTGAAATATTGCATTATATTTAAAAATTCTATTTTGTTTTAATTTATTAATAAACTATATGGAGGCTCAAATGTGTGAGCTTCTGTGTTTACTATATTTAATTAAATTGGCTAAACTTTCAATTTGGGTGAACTATACAGATCGTCACTATCCATGACACATATTGTTGCATTTTTGTATTACGACATCTAGTGACAATGTTACACCCCTAATAGTGGTACTTTAAGCAACAGATTTTTTTTTTTTTAAATAAAATAAAATACATTGCAATAAACTAAAATTAATAATACATTTCTATAATAATAAATCATTTCTACTTTATTTTGATTTTGGGGTGAAATGTGACCCAGACATGTTCTTGAAATGTTTTACAACTGACCCTTAATGGCTGTATATCTAATCTGGTTATAGTCAACTTTTATTACAGATTTTAAATAATATTTAACCCCATAACGCATTAACATGACACTGAAGACAACACGAAATGGTATTCACAACTCATTTAACTTCCATAATGATGCATTTCTGAGCAAAATTATATTGTGGGGCAGAAAAAATTGGGGTGATTTTATTAATCAAAATAAAATAAAATACATTGCAATAAACTAAAATTAATAATACATTTCTATAATAAATCATTTCTACTTTATTTTGATTTTGGGGTGAAATGTGACCCAGACATGTTCTTGAAATGTTTTACAACTGACCCTTAATGGCTGTATATCTAATCTGGTTATAGTCAACTTTTATTACAGATTTTAAATAATATTTAACCCCATAACGCATTAACATGACACTGAAGACAACACGAAATGGTATTCACAACTCATTTAACTTCCATAATGATGCATTTCTGAGCAAAATTATATTGTGGGGCAGAAAAAATTGGGGTGATTTTATTAATCAGAATTTGATTGAACCCTAAGTTATACTGTGATATTATAGACTCGTTTTAATTGTGGCCTTATGGTGCGTTCACACCAAACACGAATGTAATTATTTGCGCGAGTAGATTACATACAAAGTCAATGCAAAGACGCAAATGTGTGACGCATTTGCCGCGAACGCACGATATTTGCCTTAATCGCTTCTTCCGCTCAAGTTCAACTCGAGCGGAAAATTTGTGTGAGCTTCTTGACATGTCCAGTTGAATCAGACAATGGAAGAGATGTTATTGTAGCCGTCTGTTATTATATAGGTCTGGAGCATAGAAAACTATTAAAATCAGGTGTAGTGGTAGTTGTATTTTATTATCATTACTACAGAGATGCTGCCATCAATAATAAAAATAATAGTAATATCAGTGTATATATATATATACACACGCAGTAGTAAAATGTAACATTAATGCAGGATCCTAACGTTACTCATCCTCCACTGGATGGTGCTGTGAACCCAGACACATCGGCGTTTGACTTTCCATCGTGTTTGGGACTTTTTGACAACAGGTACAAAACAGCGATTGTAGTTCTCCACCATAGCTGATTGCGCTGTTTTTATTCACGCGAGTGACACGGAAAACATCCCGCGAGTAATCTAGAGCAAGTGACGCGATGCACATATCCGCTTGGCGTCAGGTGTGAACACACCATTAGTTGTGTCAGCGTTAATGTCGTTTCAGAAGTGGATAAACGTTTATGGAAAACAAATGTATTTTTAATAATGATGAACAGTGCACAACAAGACCACTGAGATATATATATATGTTTTTTTTTTTTTTTAATAGTTGATTTTGATTTCATGCTGTCTTTAAATCAGTCAAAATAAAAGTCTTTCAATGTGAAAACTTTTATTTTCATTGATATGTCAAACACGCTTGTATCAAAGACTATAGAATACCCAAGACGTGTCACTCATATAGTTTTGAATGGGGACAAATGCAATGCTCAATACGGCCGCTCAACCGCAGGAAGCCACGCCTTCTGAATGAAAGAGCCAATCGGTAAAGTCAGCGAGTCACTGCAGCTGCCGGTAGAAGTCCCGGTTGCTATAGAAACAATCAGCATTCTGAGACGTGCGCTTAGGACTGCGTATGCGCACTGGCTGATCTAGCCTGAAAAATAAGCTTTTTATAATGCTATTTGAGCAAAAGTAACAACATTTATGACACAGTTGTTGTCAGATTTCTTGATTTCAAATATGAAATTTAATCGTAAGCTTAGTGAACAGCTTTGGAGAACTTGATGTTTCCCCATTCAAAGAGATAGGAGTTGCACTTGCATGCCCGAGAGGCGTTCCAAAGATGGCCGCCGAGTGACATGATTTGTCTTAAAAGGACTTTGCTTGTATTCAGTACACGACCGCCCGTGTTTTCCATACCTGTCTCGTCTTTGCTGAGGTCTCTATAAATGGGATGCCGTAGCTACGTGCTAAATCCTGAGCCTGCTTTGTGTCCACACTGCGGGAAGGAAGATCACACTTATTCCCCACCAGGACCATGGGGACGTCCTCAGAGTCCTTTACTCGCTTTATCTGCTCTCTGTCAAAGCACACAGAACATTGCATGTCTATAATTAATTTGACTTTGTGAGGTGTTTTAACCCTTTACAAACCTGATTCTGCAGGTTATGTGACTGCACACCATGTGGTGTATACCTGTACTGATGAATGTCCTCAAAGGACTTGGTGTTATTGATGGCAAAGACACAGAGGAAGCCCTCTCCTGTCCTCATGTACTGATCCCTCATGGCGCTGTACTCCTCCTGACCTGCAGTGTCCAAGATGTCCAGGAGACACGTCTCCCCGTCAATCACCACCTGCTTCCTGTAGGAGTCCTGCACAAATGAAAAGATATTTTGAGCATATTGATCAGTATATAAATCCCAAACTGTACTGGTTCTGTAATATCAATTTATCACAATACCCAAGCCTAAATTATCCCAAAAATGATATTAAAAACCTGACATTTGCAAAATGACAAATTGTACTTGTAGGCAAAAATTGTATCTGAGTTTTAAAGTGCTCATTTAGGTGTAGATTAAGTCTAGCAAAATGGTGTGCAAGTCAACATTAAATTAAAATTAGAAAGATTATTTTCAGCATTTTCATGCATGCTCTTGGTCTTAATTCATCAGCGCACATTATTCCAAAGACAATTTGTCTCCGTAATCTTGTCCCAAAACATCTACAAACATCTAAAAAACAACAACTAAAATACAAAACAACATGTAAAAAACAACTACAAAACATCTAAACTACAACATATAAAAACATCAAACAAACAAACTACAAAACAAGCATCTAAAACTACAAAAGAAAACTACAGCTGTCTAAAAACTTTAAACAAAACTACAAAAACACCTACAAATTACTTCAAAAACGAATTACAAAACATCTAATAAACAATTGCAAAAACTACACACCAAACAACTACACTTTTTAGCCAATTTTTGGCCGCCCAAAACACACACACACACACACACACACAGTCTGGTCAGCTGTCCTTGTGGGGACTCTCCATAGGCGTAATAGTTTTTCTACTGTACAGACCCTATATTCTATTGCCCTACACCAACCCTACCCCTCACAGGAGACTTTCTGCATTTTTAGATTTTCAAAAAACTTAATTATGTATGATTTATAAGCTTTTGTACCAGTGGGGACCACAATTTATGTCCCCACCATGACACGAGTCCCCATGAGTCTGTGTGTAGTCAGGTTTAAGTCCCCACCAGGTTATATAAACCAGTATACACACACACACACACACACGTTAAGCACCAAAGAAAAAGCAAACAAACAAAAACTTAGGCCTATTTGACATTATGCAAATTTGCAATCTAAACTTAGAAGGGTGCCAAGCCAGAAAAGTGAAAGGCAAGAGACACAATGGCCTTCAATGTGGAATCCACCTTTTAAACCAGAATAACCGGATCGTGCTGTTGAATCTTTAACAGTAGATTTTTTTTTGCATATTCATATATGGGTGAGTTTCACAGCTTGGTGTGGCAGCAGAAAGTGAGTGTCCTGACAGCGCTAGAGACAAGAGGTACACATGCCTCACCTCTATGGTTGGGTCGTATTCATCCACAAAGTGGTTCTGGATGAGTTGGATGGTGAGAGCGCTCTTGCCCACGCCTCCAGCCCCCACGACCACAAGCTTATATTCTGTCATTCTTCACCTGCAATAGAAAAAAAACTGTGAAAATCAATGAGCAGTTAAAGATTTTTTCTGCTTCAGCTTTAATGTACTTACCAGACTTCAAATAATTGTGAATTGACTTATGCTATTATCCAAAGCGACTTACAGTTCACTAATTACAGTTTCAGTCCGCTGGAGTAACCTAGGGTTACATTAACTATGTTGCTCAAGAGCGAAACAGTGATAGTTCAATAATAAAGCCTTTTGCGGTTTGAACTTACAACTTTTCAGCTACCACCCCAGATGTTTAACCATTACACCACAGCACCCTACAATTAGGAAACACTGCAAAGGTTTGTGTCACATTGACATTACTTAAAATGCCAGGTCTACTGGACTGACCCAAAATAACTTCATATAACACATTAAACACTCAACTTCTATCTAACTTTTAAAACAATGTATAGCTATAACTAATCCGCTTTAAATATATTTACAGAAATAGTCATTCTGGAACTGAATCAGCTGATCCACAAAAGAATACTGCTTGAAATTACAGTTATACATGATTATACATAACTTTGTTTTCATCTTAAATTACAAGCCTATATTCTTATTCATTCAACCTTACGGTTATGCTGCAATAGATTTTCTTCACTACAACTAAAAAGTCCAATTAAATAAACTGATTCCATGCATAACAGATGATAGAATACCATGATTTAACGTTATGAGTTTATGTATTATGATGCTGCTATATAACTTCACCTTGTGTATAATCACTATAGATCAATCATCGTTACAATAACTCATCAAAACCGATTAATCTACAGAAAACAATAAATTCAGTAAGTGCTACACTAGCAGAATAAAATAACAATTTTAAGTTGCGTATCTAAAGGCTAGTCCTCTGTAAGGACTTTTTACTTTGACTTTTCTTTATCATAATTTAAAATCGTTTAAAGGGGTCATATGATGCTTTTTTAAAGATCATTATTTTGTGTATTTGGTGTAATCTGTTACGCCAAACAAAAACATTACTACAGGTCTACTGGACTGACCCAAAATAACTTCATATAACACATTAAACACTCAACTTCTATCTAACTTTTAAAACAATGTATAGCTATAACTAATCCGCTTTAAATATATTTACAGAAATAGTCATTCTGGAACTGAATCAGCTGATCCACAAAAGAATACTGCTTGAAATTACAGTTATACATGATTATACATAACTTTGTTTTCATCTTAAATTACAAGCCTATATCCAGGCATAGAGGACCTACAATTGATTGGCCGAACACCGCAAGCATAATCACAAGCTTCATCTTTCAAAATAAATGTAAAGACAGAGCCTGAAAGGGGAACAGAGTCGCGTGACAGACACAGCATATGTTGACATGCTTTAATGTAAAAAAAAAACATTATTTTTCAAATACTGTACATTATTGTAGGTCCTCTATGCCCCGCCTCTCTCAAACGCATCGTTTTCTCTTGAAATCGCATCATATGACCCCTTTAAATAAAAGACTCCGACTAGAACATAATACTACGATGTTCTTGCTGCGTTTTCACCGACTACCATTCTTAAAGTATTTTAGGTACCTTTTTGAGGTTAAATGATTTACGTGTGATATAATAAAGTGTGATTTAGAGTGTAACTCGAGTTCAGAGAAGAAGTTAATCGTTAAAAAGTAAAGTCGAGCGCCATCGCATCGCAGGGCCCGAGCTCACTTAGGCGTGCGAGTAACACACTGGAACAAAACAAACACAAAAGCTCGCATAGAACCAACTCTTAGCTTTATCTTTATTTGACTGTTAGTGGCTATAAATACACACGTTAAAACAGCTTTTCTATTACTTTTACCTCAGGGTTTGTTGTCAGTTCCGCGTCTGAACAGCCTCTAATGACTCCAGCGTTTATCGTGACCTTGCTATAATGTTATTATCCTTTTAACCCGCGTCTATAAAGCCGCATATATCTGTTGACAACCCCGTCGGAGTGTTTAAATGGTGTTGACTCCGACTAGAACATAATACTACGATGTTCTTACTGCGTTTTCACCGACTACCATTCTTAAAGTATTTTAGGTACCTTTTTGAGGTTAAATGATTTACGTGTGATATAATAAAGTGTGATTTAGAGTGTAACTCGAGTTCAGAGAAGAAGTTAATCGTTAAAAAGTAAAGTCGAGCGCCATCGCATCGCAGGGCCCGAGCTCACTTAGGCGTGCGAGTAACACACTGGAACAAAACAAACACAAAAGCTCGCATAGAACCAACTCTTAGCTTTATCTTTATTTGACTGTTAGTGGCTATAAATACACACGTTTAAACAGCTTTTCTATTACTTTTACCTCAGGGTTTGTTGTCAGTTCCGCGTCTGAACAGCCTCTAATGACTCCAGCGTTTATCGTGACCTTGCTATAATGTTTTTATCCTTTTAACCCGCGTCTATAAAGCCGCATATATCTGTTGACAACCCCGTCGGAGTGTTTAAATGGTGTTTCAAACCGAAAACCGACAGTTTTACGCGGAATAGAGATGAGTTTGGTCTTTCTAGGCTACATGGCCTGCGCTCGGAGGCTGTGCGGTTCATAAATATGGGCGGACACACTGCTGCGTCCTGCTAAACGATCACTTACCCCACAATATCAACGGTTTTCAGCTGTTTACGATTATTTTCAGTCGGTGGAGGAGGTTAAAAGGACGAGTAATACGCAGTCGAGCAGCCCCTTCCGAGCATCAGCATGCATCTTGCATTATAACAGAAGAAACATCTGTAGATACAAACAATCCCGATCGGTGTCCTTTCAGTGAGATGTGCTTGACCGATAACCAACACCGCTAATTCCAGGATAGATATGGTTACACGACGGATGACAAATGCACTTTAGTTTACAGTGTAGTAGCACACAGGAATGTGCTAGACATATTCGATACTGGGCAGAGACCGGCTTTTGACAAGCGCTGAGGGCAGTATTGCGCTAGACTGGCTTGCTGCTTAAATAGGCCCTAAATATAACCGGAACGTGTACGTGCGCACGTAATCACGTTTGTGGAATCTTATTGGCTGCTTCACCTGTCAGTCAGGATTAAGGGCTGTGCAGACGGTGTGCAAGGGCCAATCGTCTACGGTTATCAACGGAATAATACAAATGAATCACGCTGGTTGCCAACCGCCGTTACAAGCCAAGAGGAAGAAGAAGAATACAAATGACTCGACCTAGATGTTTATTGTTTGGCTTGAGACTTTACTTTACACGTTTTTCTTTGCCTTTTAATGTAAACGTAGTTAACAGATACACATAAGTGTGAAACAAAGCACACAAAGTAAAAAAATAAATAAAAAAAATAGTGCTTTTTCGTGTCAAGAGCGAAAGTATTGGTATTTGCATGAATGTATTTACAGTTTGTGAAGAGGTGCTTTAGTTTTTAACATAACTAAAATGATCATTTATATGGTAACCAAAAATAATATGAATAACAGGCAAAGAAAATGCACTAAAACGTTACGAACAATGAAGACATTATTGCCATGAGTATGGAGGACGAAACCTGCAAAAACAATAAAGAAATAAATGTGTGCATAAATACACGTATTCTTGTTTAAATACATAAATAAATAATTATGCATGTGATGAAAGTAGGCAAATTAGCATGTTGTGCAGAGGAAAAATAAATGTGGAACCACATTCAGAAATAAATGAGTGATCAAAGGAAATAAATAGGATGAAACTTAAACAGTTTCCATTTGTCCACTAATTTATTTTATTTATTTGCCTACTTTAATCACACGTTTAATTATTTCTATATGTATTTAAACAAGAAGTTGTGTATTCATACACACATTTATTTATTTATGTGTGTATTTATTTATTTATTGTTCTTGCAGGTTTCGCCCTCCATACATGGGTGCACGCTTGAATTCCAGAAATATTTTACTACGGACAATCCTAAATTATTGCATAAATTATGCTTGAAATTCACTCTACGCAAACCTTGCGGTAAGTTTTAAATTTGAGTTCACTTTTAAGTATTATTTGTATTTTTTTATTATAACGGAAGTAATTACAAAATGTTTTGCAACACTAATAGGGTTGATTTACGCAAGTGGATGATTTACTTTAGACTTTAGTACACAGTCTATTATTTGATCTAAACATGTGTTGCACATATACATAAGCATATGTTCAATCATTTGAATTTTGGAATAATAATCATTTATATTTTGATTTTTCAAGATGCAATAAAAACAAAAAACCGCAAAAGACACAAGGGGTCAGTATTTCCATGGTTCTGCAAGTCAGATTTATTTAAATAATGACTTCAAGCCGTTTTGCTGTATTCAAATATATTGTTTTTTCAAACAATAACAATGTTATTGTTCAAACCGCTTGTGAGGCTCTCCGATATCGTTGATTGTCACGTGGTGTGTGTGTGTTTTACATATTACTTTTCTCAGCGCTGGCAGGATGACCAAAACCTTTTGTTGAATAAATACATAAAATAGAGATTGTTGGGCTGTTTATATTTCAGTTAGAAATTATTAATTAATCGTCGAAATTATTTAAATGACACCTCTTTTGGTATTAAAAAACGGCTTTGGTTTTCTGAGCCGTCAAGCGCCCTCTTGAGGAAGAAAACGGAATTCACACAAGTCCCGCCTCCTGCGACGAGATGAGCCAATAGGAGCCTCTCGAAGCGGTCTCTGATTGGACAGTTTAGAGGCACTTCACAAGCTTAACCAATAATAGTACACAATGATGAGACGAGGGCGGGACTTGACAGAATGCAGCGAGCCGTGTTTTCCACATTTGTAGCTGAGATGGACTCACTGCAGCACAGCGTGAAAACTTTTTCCTGTGGGGCGGTGATCCCTACGGATCAAGTCCGCTTATTTTCTCAGACTTTTGCGCTGTAACAAACACAACATATAAGAGCAGTTCGTTCATATTTAGCAAACGGAGCTGTATAGTAAGTCTTGGCACACACACAAAAAGACCCTGAATGTTACAGCGTCCTTTTTAATTTATTGCACAAACTTTGGTCGGGACAAAAAGTGGATAAATGTTTTCCTACATTTAGTCATAAAGGTAAGAGTGTACAGATTTTGCATGCGGAGCAATGTAATACTTCAGAAATGCAACCTAAAAGCAGCTGCTATATGTTCATACGCATTCAGCATCACAATCTGAAATATTTAGTTGCATGAATTAACATTAAAACAGCATGTTTTTAATATTCTGTACCGTTATACAGACCATCGCATCCATTGACATCAACACAAAATGTGAGTTTATTAATCAAATTCAAAGCAAACTGAGATGTGCTTTTAGCACTGTGGGAAAACGCATGCAATAACAGCTAAAATAATTACAATAACTGCTAAAAGTCGTTTTTCACTGCTACTTTTTTTGTTCTCCTCTATATGTGGATGCAATGAATCGTTAACCATACCTACATGAAGATGGTAGATTAGTAAATTGTAGATTGTAAATTCTCTCAAAGATTTTTTGGCTTTTTATTTGTATTCAGTTATTGATATTTGAAGGATCAGTCTGCTTAACAACATCAGTGTTTGGCAATCGAAACATGTCTATCTGATCCAATATATGCGGTTACTTCCAAACCCAGTTATTATGTAGCTATTAAAACATTTAATGCACTTTTAATTTGTATAAATAATTAGTATGTCATGCAGAATCCATGTTGTCATGCAATGCAACAGAAAGTTGGCCTTGATGGGTCTAACAAAGATTGGTTATCATGTAGGCTATTTACTGCAAAATACTCATTTAATCCAACAAAGTGTCTTAAGTGCGTTTTTGTATTGCCACGAAAGTATGCAAATGCTTCACAGTGGGAATGCGTAACTACTTTATTGAAAGTGGTGAGATGAGAGATTAATAATAAACCACTTAGTCACGTTGACACTTCATCCAGTACCCTCGTATCTCAGTTTTTGGCTGGTCCTTCAAAGCTAGCCTGCTGATCACAACCATGGCAAAAGAACAAAGGCAGTATTTTATCCAGCTAAACGTGCCATCCAGATGTTGGCGATTCTGCCAGTCTACGTCCTAGCCGTGGGCGAGGAGGTAGGTATTGGGGGGCCGACGTTTATTCTCAAGTTTATTAAAGCACCTCAGCTGAGACTTGAGACTCAACAAACTGAGATTTACAAGAGCGAAGGCGGCTCTTGCTGGTCCGTAGTTAAATACCACTGTAGGTAGACTGTTCCTGCCATCTAACGTCCTTAGAGAAGGACTTTGTTTAAAACCTGGCATGGTTTTATTCCCTTCATAGTTTTGAGGAAAGCTGTTTTTTCCTGTTACCTTCCATGAAAGCTCCTCGTTGTTTTTTACTCTTACAGGCTAAATGTGCCAAACTACGTGAAAGAATCAAGCGTAGCAAAGTACATTTTAGGACACCCAAAGAGACTTAGGGGCAAGATTTGGAGATTTCAGTGTGAATTCACTCTCTTTCTTCCAAAACCTCAGGTTATTGTTTTACTGGGGTGGGGAAAGAAGGTTTGTTTTCCTTCCTCCGTCATCCCAGATGGGAGATTTGGTGAGGACACAGTTCTCCTCTGTGTTTGGCAGATGGGAGGTCTTTCGTGGTTCAGTTTGATCGTGTAGTGGTGTTGTTTGTTTGATTTGCACCTTAATTTTCCCTAGGGAAGGAACAATATTCAAAACACCAGGTTTAAATATATATTCCAATACTGCCGTGGCTCATATAAGAGAATACCAGGAAAAAACAGTTCTTCTTTAGTATCAAAACCTGCCATGGTATAAATAACATTTCTTAGCCATATAACTCATGGATGATGGCTACAAATGAAAGTCTTTGATTAGAGAAAGCGCGAGCAGGGCTCGAATCGTCTTATCTCCTTCAGCGTTCAGTGCCCAGCTGCGTGGAATGTGTAACCTCAATGTTATCAGTTTCCATGGTGTAAAATCAAGGCCCAAGTCTTTGGATAACCACCTGCATGCCTTCAAGCCTCAACAATGCCTTAGTTACTAGCTAATCTTTTCAGTAACTTCACTATACAGTGGACCCAAAAAATCTTTTCCTCATCCTGACACCGTTCCAAACCTGTATGACTTTCATTTGTCTGTGGAGCATAAAAGATAATTTGAAGAATGTTTCAGCTGTTTTTGTCCATATTATGAAAGTCAATGGGACCCAAATCTTCCAAGCTCCAATAAGGATCAAATGGTAGCATGAAACTAATCCAGATGACTATTTTATACGTTTTTTAAGCAACACGGTCTCATTCTGTGAAGAACAGATCAAAATTGAGGTCTTTATTCACTCTCGAAGCAAAACATTGATCAAACTCATACCTCAGCCTCCCATTTGGTCACGTGACGTGAGGTTTGTCAATAGATTTCAATCTGTTCATCACAAAAAAGAATTGCGTCACTGTCAAGTCTGGATTAATTTTACACTACTTTTATACCCTTTGTGGACCTCGAAAGTATCTATCTATCTATCTGTGTTTCTTGGAGTGTTTTTACTCTTGGAACGGTTTCAGCCAGGCCTGCAACTAATTATGGGAGAGTGCATAAATTGCTAGTAATTACATGTAGCATGGCAGCTAGCGCAAGCACAACAGAATAAAAGGTTAACCCAAAATAGCTCAGCAATAGTAACGGCACACCATCTTTCCTCTAGAAATTAGCTCATTCTCTTTGGTTTTGGATAGACTTCGAAACTTGTATCATTTGTTTTTAATTTGATCCTTTCCTTACAGACTTTAGGGTTTAGCCTCTGCCAAAAGCTCACTTGATTCTTAATAACCAAATGTAAGTTTTGTAAGACATATGCTGTTAACTTCCCATTTGGAGGAATATTTGGGGGATATTATTTTTCTATATATGCTTTTATGCAATTTTTGAATCAGCCAAATCTTGAGTTTTTCATGAAGAACATGTGAGTGCCCGTACAAAACCCTCATCTAGAAATGCCATCCAAAGACAAAGTTTAACTTCAGGTTA